GCTACATTTGGTGGCCGTAGGCCATTTTTCCCATTTCAGAGTCCGGTTCCCGGTTTTCGGAGCCGTCAGGCCGTGTGCCTCGGTTCGGGACCGCCTAACCATCTCCGTTTGCCCCGATTTTCGGCATACTTCTTATTTGCTCCCTTTTGAGGGACACTGGGGTCTTGGAAACCCACTTCGTGGCCGGATGCCACTTTCGGTGCTTAACAGCCCATTTTCGGGACCCCGAACTGCGTGTTTTGGCCCCGGAACATTCGTTTTGCAACGGTTTTCGTTCATTTTTGGCAGGCACCTCTGTTTTATCACCGGGGAGGTCACTGAAGGGTGGGAGGCTAGTAATTGTTGCAGCAGCCAGTTATATCTCCTCCGAAGCCCTCCGACGCCCGTTTTTCGCACTTCCGGACTAATGTTGAATACCTTGGGCCCATTTTCTTAAACTTTGAACCACATATTTGTGATCTACACACATGGGAGGCCCCTAAAAGTTCATGGCCGGCCATTAATTCAAGTTGACCCTTTTGACCCCTAGCTGGCCGGCTAGGGGGGGTGGCTGGCCGGCTAGGGGGGGTGGCTGGCCGGCCACCTACAGCAAAAGTAAAGGGCCGGCCTGCTTCCTCATGATTGGTGCTTTACAGCTGTGCAGCTGTTTCCCCCAGAAAATATCCCAATCCGGGGGATATTTTGTGGGGGAAAGCTTACCTTCTTTTTGCCCCACCTTTACACCCTCTTTTTGCCCTTATAACCAGCTGATGGCATCACAATTAAGGGTTGGAAAAATTCATCTTCAAACCTCCATATCCATCTCCATCTCCATCTCCATCCTTCTCAATTCTTGAAAAAACCCTAAGTCCCTAAGCTCCATTTCTTCTACACCACCAAGCTCTACCACCACCACCTCATTTCCAGCAGCAAGGGAGGTTCCTCAAAGGCAAAAGGAGCTGCAAATTGATCCAAGAAGCAACAAAAGTCTTGGTCTTCAAGGGTAAGTAGCACTTCTCCTCTTTTGACCCTTTTCTTGATCTATTTTTAAGCCCTACATGATTTTTGTTTCAAGCTCCGGCCCTAACTGAAAGTGGCCCTCTTTTGAGCTCATCTTCACTTTTCATTAAGGGCTCAACCCTGTTTGAGCCCTCCATGATGC